CTCAACAGCCTCATGGTTTATGAGGAAATATACGCAGTAATCACCCAGTGTAGATGGCAGTCGCGGGACCAATGCGATGCCAACTGGGCAGTGTCTACTTATCTTAGCCATACTTGACTAGCCGATTGACTTAGCCGGGCCTCGGTCAAGCCACCCGTCTATTCAGAATAGAGAAATAAAGAAACGTGTTGCTATCTGCAGGGCGCAGCGTGCAGCATCGCTCCACCTCCCCGACTCCCCCCCCTTCCCCCCACACCGCTTTAAGGCGTCTCCCGTTAGGGAGAGGAGTAGGCAGTAATGCAGGCACTGTCTCCTTTTTTATTTATCATCGATTTTCCTTAGTCCTAATGATGAATGATTTATTTGCAAGAAAAAATGGTTCAGATTTTGGGAATATCTACTTTATATCATCCTGTGAAGAAAAGTAATTATTCTATAACGAAAAGAATGCATGCACACATGTGTATCTAGGTATTCCCTCCTTACATTGGTTTAACATGAATTCTAGCAAACATCATAAGACGAAGAATAAAAAGAATAAAAAACGTGCTCATCGTACGAAGAAAGTTAAAACGGCTGATCAATTGGTCTCATCCAGCAGCAGTGAGTCGACGGAGTGACGTCATCCAGCAGCAGTGAGTGGACGTCATCCAGCAGCAGTGAGTCGAAGTCATCCAGCAGCAGTGAGTGGACGTCATTCAGTAGCAGTGAATCGACGTCATCCAGCAGCAGTGAGTCAACGTCATCCAGCAGCAGTGATTGGACGTCTTCCAGCAGCAGTGAGTCAACGTCATCCAGCAGCAGTGAGTCAACGTCATCCAGCAGCAGTGAGTCAACGTCATCCAGCAGCAGTGAGTCAACGTCATCCAGCAGCAGTGATGGGACGTCTTCCAGCAGCAGTGAGTCAACGTCATCCAGCAGCAGTGAGTCAACGTCATCCAGCAGCAGTGAGTCAACGTCATCCAGCAGCAGTGAGTCAACCTCATCCAGCAGCAGTGAGTCAACGTCATCCAGCAGCAGTGATTGGACGTCTTCCAGCAACAGTGATTGGACGTCTTCCAGCAGCAGTGATTGGACATCATTCAGCAGCAGTGATTGGACGTCTTCCAGCAGCAGTGATTGGACATCATTCAGCAGCAGTGAGTATTTGTTATTTAGCAGTAGTTACTGGACGTCATCCAGCGGATTTTTCTGGAGCTGTAGCAGATGCTAGATTTCACACCCTAAGAAACGTGGTGAGGACCCTCGGTATCAGAAAGACCCAAGTTGGATATTGACCAGGAGCACTGACTTTGGAGGTCTCTAGCCTTGGCTGTACCCTGTTGGGGAAATGCAGTATCTTCCTCCTGGGCAGTAACCTGCTGCTGAGTATAATCCTGCTTGGCAAGATTGTGGTCCTGGTGTTATGCCAGGTGCTATGCAAGGTGCTATGCCTCGTGCTATGCAAGATGCTATGCAAGATGCTATGCCAGGTGTTATGCCAGGTGCTAAGCCAGGTGCTATGCCTGGTGCTATGCAAGGTGCTATTCCTGGTGCTATACCAGATGCTATGCAAGGTACCATTTCAGGTGCTATGCCAGGTGTTATACCTGGTGCTGTGACAGGTACTATGCCAGGTGTTATGCCAGGTGCTATGCCAGGTGCTATGCCTGGTGCTATACCAGATGCTATGCAAGGTACCATTTCAGGTGCTATGCCAGGTGTTATGCCTGGTGCTGTGACAGGTACTTTGCCAGGTGTTATGCCAGGTGTTATGCCAGGTGCTATGCCAGGTGTTATGCCAGGTGTTATGCCTGGTGCTATGCCAGGTGCTATGCCTGGTGCTATGCAAGGTGCTATACCAGATGCTATGCAAGGTACCATTTCAGGTGCTATGCCAGGTGTTATGCCTGTTACTGTGCCAGGTGTTATGCCAGGTGTTATGCCTTGTGCTATGCCAGGTGCTATGCCAGGTGCTATGCAAGGTGCTATCCCTGGTGCTATGCCTGGTGCTATGCAAGGTGCTATGCCTGGTATGCAAGGTGCTATGCCTGGTGCTATACCAGATGCTATGCAAGGTACCATTTCAGGTGCTATGCCAGGTGTTATGCCTGGTGCTGTGACAGGTACTTTGCCAGGTGTTATGCCAGGTGCTATGCCAGGTGCTATGCCAGGTGTTATGCCTGGTGCTATGCCTGGGGCTATGCAAGGTGCTATGCCTGGTGCTATACCAGATGCTATGCAAGGTACTATTTCAGGTACTATTTCAGGTGCTATTCCAGGTGTTATGCCAGGTGTTATGCCTGGTGCTATGCCTGTTGCTATACCAGATGCTATGCAAGGTACTATTTCAGGTGCTGTGACAGGTGTTATTCCAGGTATTATGCCTGGTGCTGTGACAAGTACTGTACCAGGTGTTATGCCAGGTGCTATGTCAGGTGCTATGCCAGGTGCTATGCCCGGTGCTATGCCAGGTGCTGTACCAGGTGCTGTGCCAGGTGCTATACCAGAGGCTATGTAAGGTGCTATACCTGCTGCTATGTCAAGTGCTGTACCAGGTGCTATACCTGATGATATGCCTGGTGCTATGCCATATGCTATTGAAGGTGCTATGCCATATGCTATTGAAGGTGCTATGCCATATGCTATTGAAGGTGCTATGCCAGATGCTATTGAAGGTGCTATGCCCCGTGATATGCCTGGTGCTATGCCAGATGCAATTTAATTTGCTATTCAAGGAGCTATGCAAGGTGCTGTGCCATGTGCTATACCTGATGATATGCCTGGTGCTATGCCATATGCTATTGAAGGTGCTATGCCATATGCTATTGAAGGTGCTATGCCATATGCTATTGAAGGTGCTATGCCAGATGCTATTGAAGCTGATATGCCTGGTGCTATGCCAGATGCAATTCAATTTGCTATTCAAGGTGCTATGCAAGGTGCTATGCCAAGTGCTATGCAAGGTGCTATGCAAGGTGCTATGCAAGGTGCTATGCGAGGTGCTATGCGAGGTGCTTTGCCTGATGCTATGCCTGATGCTATGACAGATGCTGTGCAAGGTGCTATGCCAGATGATATGCTTGGTGTTATACCTGGTGTAATGCCAGATGCTATTCAAGGTGCTACGCCAGATGTTATGCAAGGTGCTATGCCAGATGCTATGCAAGGTGCTATGCCAGATACTGCTACACGCAAGGGTGAGCAATCTAACCACTGAGCTACTCGCGGCAGTTCAATATATATATATATATACTCATATACTATATAGATATATATATACATACATACATACATATATATAGATATATATGTAGTATGTATGTATATATTTAAACTCTATATATATGCTGCACGCGATAGCCTCAGTGTAGATTGCTCACCTTGCGTAAGCGGCTGCCGCATAAGTATCTGGCATAGACCACCCTTGCATAGCATCTGGCCCATAGCACCTTGACATAACATCTGGCGCAATCGAGCACATTGAAATAGACATCTGGCATTATCATCAGGACATAAACACCAATCATTCTCATCTGGCATAGCACCTTTGACCACAGCATCTGTCATCGTACCCCTAAATAGCCATACTGGCATAGAATCACACGGCAAGCACCTCGCATAGCACCTCGCATAGCACCCTTGCATAGCACCTTGCATAGCACTTGGCATAGCACCCTTGCATAGCACCTTGAATAGCAAATTGAATTGCATCTGGCATAGCACCAGGCATATCAGCTTCAATAGCATCGGGCATAGCACCTTCAATAGCATATGGCATAGCACCTTCAATAGCATATGGCATAGCACCTTCAATAGCATATGGCATAGCACCAGGCATATCATCAGGTATAGCACATGGCACAGCACCTTGCATAGCTCCTTGAATAGCAAATTAAATTGCATCTGGCATAGCACCAGGCATATCACGGGCATAGCACCTTCAATAGCATCTGGCATAGCACCTTCAATAGCATATGGCATAGCACCTTCAATAGCATATGCATAGCACCTTCAATAGCATATGGCATAGCACCAGGCATATCATCAGGTATAGCACCTGGTACAGCACTTGACATAGCAGCAGGTATAGCACCTTACATAGCCTCTGGTATAGCACCTGGCACAGCACCTGGCACAGCACCGGGCATAGCACCTGGCATAGCACCTGCATAGCACCTGGCATAACACCTGTACAGTACCTTCGTCACAGCACCAGGCATAATACCTGGAATAACACCTGTCACAGCACCTGAAATAGTACCTTGCATAGCATCTGGTATAGCAACAGGCATAGCACCAGGCATAACACCTGGCATAACACCTGGCATAGCACCTGGGCATAGCATACCTGAAATAGTACCTTGCATAGCATCTGGTATAGCACCAGGCATAGCACCTTGCATAGCCCAGGCATAACACCTGCAAGCACCTGGCATAGACACCTGGCATAACACCCTGCATAACCTGTCACATGTCACAGCCAGCATAACACCTGGCATAGCACCTGAAATGGTACCTTGCATAGCATCTGGTATAGCACCCAGGCATAGCACCAGGCATAGCACCGGGCATAGCACCAGGCATAACTCCTTGCATAACAACTGAAAAGTACCTTGTCACAGTACCAGGCATAACACTGCATAGCACCTGAAATGGTACATGCATCGCATTGTATAGCACAGGCATAGAAATTGCATAGCACCAGGCATAACACCTGGTATAACACCGGCATAGCACTGGCAATAAACCTTGGCATAGCACCTGCATAACACCTGGCAAGTACTGTCACAGCACAGGCATAACACCTGGCATAAGCACCTGAAATGGTTACCTTGCATAGGCATCTGGTATAGCACCAGGCATCGCACTTGCATAGCCACCAGTTCATAACCACCTGGCATAAACCTGGGCAAAGTACCTGGCACAGCCACCAGGCATAACACCTGGCATAGCACCTGAATGGCTACCTTGCATAGCATCTGGTATAGCACCAGGCATAGACCTGGCATAGCACCTGGCAAAGTACCTGTCACAGCACCAAGGGATAACACTGGCATAAGCCCTGAAAATGGTACCTTGCATAGCATCGGTTAGCACCCAGGAATAGCCCTTGACAAGCAACTTGTAGCACCTGGCAAAACCACCTGGTTATAGCACCAAGCATAGAATCTTGCATAGCAACGGAGGCATAGCACCTGGCATAGCACCTTGCATAGCAACTGGCATGCACCAGGTATAACACCAGGACCACAATCTGCAGCAGAGGATTATACTCAGCAGCAGGTTGCATTCACACACACACATGCAACACACGTATGTGTTTCGCATGTGCGTCCGTTAGCATGAATGCACAAGGCGCACGCGCGGATTTGCAAAAGTGATCTGTCTTACTTAGATACGATCTGGTTAGCCCTTGGTCATTTTGTTATGGGACCGCCATACCAGCATAGAACTCGACAATAGGAACAGCCAGACATTTACCTGTGGTTCTTTGGCAGCTGGTGGTGCCCGCATCACAGTGAAATATTCCAAAGCGAAGATCAAATGCTTTGTGTTTTAAATAAAAATAACAATACTAATGACAATAGCATCCGTAATAATAATCCGTTGTATATGAACTGAGGATCATTTTCCATCTGGTTCTAAATTACTGTCCTGTTGTGGTTATTCTAATGAGATTAGCTGTATTATTATTGTCACCTATGGCTATTGTCATTATTATTGTTATTATTTTATTTCATATTAATAGTATTGTCGTTGTTATTTTTACTCTTATTGATATTATTTATTGTTGTTATTTTTTTTCATAGCCATTAGTATTCATTGGTTGATTAATGCTTGGCTCGACTGCTTGCCAATATATATAAAATGCAGCATGGGGATAGAATTCCACTATCATTTGGTGCCGGTCCAAGCCGATGTAATGCAGCGGGTTGCGACAGCTGACAAGCGGCGTAAAACCAGCCGAATCATGATTGCGCGGAAACGACCGCCGCTGTGGCTATGGCCCAACAGGGCTACGGCGGAAAAATACGCTACTGTGGTCAACCAGAAGACAAGAAGAAGGAGTGTTGAAGCGGTGTAACATGTGAGAAAGAAAAGGGACGAGAGCGACTAAGAAGTGGTCATCAGGATAGGGACGCTTAACGTGGGACAATGACTGGGAAGAGCAGGGAAAAAAAAAAAAAACTGGTAAAACATGATGGAACGAAGAAGCTGGAAATACCGTGTGTGCAAGAGACAAGATGAAGGGCAAGTGTTAAAGCCAGAGAAGAGAACTTGGAGCTGGTTCCCAAATTATTCTACCCATGGAGAAGTCGTGGAAGAAAGAGTGGGTGTAGTGGTGAAGAAAAGTATATTAATGGCTGCTTGAAGTACGTAGAATGTCAGATAGGATAATGTTAAAGATAGATGAAACCGGAAATAGAAGGAATGGTGTCAAACTTTATTTCAGCGTGTGCCACCACAAGTGAAAGGCTAATCATTGGAGTAGAGTTCAGGGACACATCGGCGTGGAAAACGGAGGAGACGAGGGACTGATGAGAAAGTCGGGTATGGCACAGCAATGGGCTGTAATAAAACCCCTCTACAAGCGGGAATCCCACACGATCTTTTTCCTAGAGGCTGACGGAGGTTAAAATAGGGTCCCAAACGCGGCAGTTAGAAAGCAGCTGCAAACTAGAAGATTTGGGGATAAGTAAGAGAAAGTAGGCTGAGGCTGGTCGGGCAGTACAGAGCCGAGGACCAGAGGACTACGTTGGGCGAAGATGATGGAGATGGCCCACCAGGAAAGAGGAGGGGAGGTGAAACGAAGAGAAGATTCATGGATGCTGTCGAAGAAGACATGAAAATAGTGGGAAACACGCCGAAAGGCAAAAATATATTTTTAACGACCGCCGCGACGGGGGAGGACCGAACTCGGGACCACGAGGGTCGGAGTCCAGTGCTCTAATCCATGAGCTATCGCGGCCAGTAATATGTATAATTATATAATATATATATATTATATATATATTACATATATATAATATATATGTATGTAATAATTCATGTATGTATTTAGAATGTATATGTATCTATATATAATATATATATGTATTATATTATATATATATATTACTTATATATTATATATATATGTATACATATTATTTTTTCTTATATACAATTACTTATTATATATCATATAAATGTATACTATTTTTATATATATTATATATATATATATATATAGATATATCGTATGTATTATATACGTCCGGCCGCGCGGGAATTGGGACTCGGGCCCACGAGGGTCGGAGTCCCAATCGCGCTAACCTCTGAGCTAGCGCGGCAGTACATATATAATAGTATATATTATACTAACATACATACATATATATATATATATATATGTATGTTTGTACTGTATTGAATATATATATATATATATATTATATATATATAAGATATATATATATATGATATGAATGCCGCGATAGCTCAGATGGTTAGAGCATTGGACTCAGACCCTCGTGG